CAGAGAAACAAACGAGGGATCAATTGCGACCATGCTTTAGATACGCTTAAATCGTTCCGGCTTTCGACCGGCGAAGCTCGTAAGTTTTCGAGGCAGTTAATCCAGAACTATTATATTTATATTGAAAGATGCCCCTTTTTTCTCTTATATTTCAAACCAAGTTTAATATACTTTTTTATTCAAATTTAATCTGATTAAGAAGGTATGTGCGAGGAGTGCGAACAAAAGAGTAACTTATGTACAATATATTCTATTTTCTTTTTTTTTTTTTGCGGGAAGATTAAATTTTTTTCTCTTTTAAATGATCGGTCATAGACTACGGTAACTTGATATTGCACGCGTGACATCTGCATTCGCGAGGACTCTCACGCGGGGAAAATTCACTGGCTTTAAATTGACGCGTGACTCGACGGTAAACAACAATTTGTGCATGCGAACAACTCAACTCTCGCAAGAATGCGGCGTATATCCACCTTTATAATGCACTTATTGCTCCCCGCGCGTGTAATCCGGCCGCTTATCTACCGGTATGCTCGTAACAGTGAAACTAATCCCGCGAGACTTAATGAAACGTATTATTTTAACTCATTTACCGGCACGCGAAATACGATAAGGCCTACATACGCGCGCGATAATTCCGCTCGATAATTTTTAACCACGCTACGATTATCGCAATGACGTTCGGGAGCAATTAAGAGATTGTCTCGAGCGCGAGACAGTGGAAGTATTAACGGAATATTATCAACTTTATTATCCATCTAACGCAATAATATCGACGTCCGTTCGAGTTTCATCACATAGATATCGTATACCTTCCCTTATCGTATAACGCGTTCTCGCGAAAGCCTCCTCTATCGGACACTTTAAAATGCATGTAATATCGCGAGAGCGACACTTATATAGTCGCGATCGATATGCGCGTCATAAATTTGCTTCGTTTAACGAATACGTCGAAAAATCAGATCCCGAGCGGGTACAATATCCTCGTGCTAATTAAACTATCGCGAACGGTGCAGCCGTGATAATGAAACTGGATCATCCGGGAAAACTGGTGCAACGATAAGAAGCAGAGGATTGCTTGCTTTGATGATCAATAAGATTTATTAATTATCGATTGTCGATCGATCGATCGATCGCTTTGACGACCATGTGGCTGCCGGCGAGACGTTTAATTAACGAGCCCTAGTTAACACTTCAATTAATGCGTTTCATTAGCGCCTCGCGTCCGATCTCTCGTATCTTGTCTCCGCGGCGATTGCCCCGCATGCAGATTAATTTAGTCGCTTAATTGATCGATTGATAAGCGCGCGCGTCCAAGATGTGAAAATGGACATCGAGTAATCTCGGCGATCGCCAAGTTTCCCTTCCGGCCCGACAAATGAGTTCACGTCGAATATACAATGAGACAATTAACAATTAATAGCTATGGAAATACGGCGATCTTGAAAAAATTCAATATGAATATATCGGGAATAAATTAGCCTGGCGTTAAAACTTTATTGAATATTTAATATCGAAATAACAAGAGAGAAGAGATATGTAAAGTTTCTCATAAGATAAATTGATCAAGTTTACTTTTTGTAAATTTCTTAATTTTAGTACCACACATGGTACTAAAATTAAGAAATTACAAAAAATGGAGTTAATCAGTTTGGATTCTGAAAAATGATTATATGTGTAGCTGCGTTTATTCATTTGCGGCATATAGTGTGCCGCAATAAAGTGTGTACTGAAAAGAAGATTTATGTAGCAGCAGAATTTTTTTTTTTTTTTTTTTTTCTCGGATGTATTATGAAATTCTCCTCAATATTCGATCGCAATGCCGAAATGTAGCGTTAATAACAGCGCATAACGCAAAGGGGCATAGCTGAAAATTTATTCGATATGTAAGAAAGTTTCTCGTTAGAGTTTCTCTAAATATAAGAGAAATATAATATAAAATAATTATATCGAATTAATTTTATTATTACGCCCGGCTGACAATGAGTGATATTGATATATGTCCAAAATAGTTCAGTCTTTATTTGACATAAATTCATTTATTAAATGTTATAAGTTTATTGAAATAAGTTATGATAATGAAAATGAATATTTTCGAAGATTCGCTAAGAAAGCCAAATTTATATTCATGTTGCCATTTTTTGTTACGATAATTAAATCTTAATTTCATCCATTCATGAATCAAATGATAAAAAGATAAATACTTAAAAGTTTATATTCAAGATTTATATATATTCATATTTATTATCGTACGATTTATTTTACGGTTGTCCTTTTCTCTTTTCTTGTAAAGTCTTATTTCACTCTACAGGTTTGCAAACCATTATAACCGCGGATATTTTCAATTTACAAATTTATTAACATGAACTGATTAATATGTCAATAATCGCCTACAAGTCACGTTATCACTGCGCTATTAATTTTCACTGAGTAAATTATTAATCCTACTTTATATCAATACATGTCGGCGTCATGGAATGCAAATGCATATTTCATTCTCCATATATTGAAGAAAAAGAGAAATCTCAAATTAAAAATCTTCTAGATTTTTAATTATCTTTAACACACATCACATATTATCAAACATCCAAGAAAAAATATATCCCTAAAAAATGATATGAAAAATGAAAGACAGCATTAAAGAAAAAATAACGCTATTCCATTCTCACTGTGAAACTTATGAAATTTTTTCGGGGGTGATGTGTTCGTTTGTAGACGAAAATAATACGGACGGATGATAGCGAATATCCGAATACGATCTACCGACATCGACCGCGTTCGCACATCCGTTGTTCCGGGCACGAAGGGAGAGATCCGGCGCGTTTAATTACGGGGGGAACGGGAGAGAAAAAGAAACAAAGAGAGAAAGAGAGAGAGAGAGAGAGAGAGAGAGTTCCACGTCGGACGCAGTAAATTATTCCTTTTGGAAGCGGCGATTATAAAGCGATTATCGACAAGGATCGCTCCCGCAGACGCAGCAGAGGCCGTATACCTATAGTACCAGTACCCCGGCGATTTTCTGCGCCGTCGGGACCCCGCCGTTGTCCCGGCGATGCCCTCGCGAAAAACAATTTGCGGCGCGAAGACACCCCCTTTGCGCGTACCCCGGTAATTACGGCCGGTCAGTGCGATAATGTCGTGTGCTTGAGTATTACCACGACGCGAGTCCATGCCCGACGGCGGAAATTATTCAATTTTTCGTACACGGGGTACTGCCTTTCTAAAATAATACGCTGCGCGAGAGAGATTATTGCGCGCAGAAAACAAACAATTTCTGCCGGGTCCGTGTATGAGTCATCGGCTGCAAAATTACCTACTCTCGAGTTTGCAATATCGAATTTACCGTCCCTCGATGTCTTCTTGAATGTCAGGATTATTAGGATAATACGATATAACCATATACGCAATATTGAGAGAAAAAAGCCTCCGCGTCTTGCGTACAATTTTTTCTTTTATCTTCTTGTATTAGGTAAAGAGGCATCATATTGAAAAATACCTTCGATCTTATAATGTCTTTCAATTTTTATAGCATGCAATCGGCAGGTATGGTAAAGAATTTTTTAGGGATACGTCGCAGGTTACTGGAACGGGCGAGAGAAAAGCGGAACGATTCTTGTAGACGGTATAATTTATTTCGCTATATCGCTAGAGAACACGAACTGAGTCATTTGATGATCGTACAATTCTATGGCTCTGCACGTCAAAATCACAATTTGCTATTTACAGGATTATTTACAAGCGAAAGCCCTGCGCCACAATCGAGCGAATTTATTGAGCGGAGTAGGAAAATATGTTTCCTATACGTGAAAACTTACTTTCCTATACGCGCAACACTTAAATAAATTTTCTATGAAATCGATAAGCGCGAATTCTCTGATCAAGTTAAATAAATAAATCTAATACTCGCCAAATGCAACTCGCGCTACTTGATAATATTAAAATATTGAGAGAATCTATCGATGTATTAATATTACGATTGTATTAAAATAATATTAAATTATCGAGAGAAGGTGAGAATATGTCAATATAATAATATTATGATTTCGAGATTAAAATTTCTATTTACAAATGCGATAGCTCTATTATGACGCACAGGATTCCGGGTCTAACACACATTAGCAATAATAATTTAAATCGTCAGTACATATCTCGAAACACCGACCGACGAAAGGAATACTGCTCGCTCGTAGAACAACGACTTAAATACAATTGCAAATACATTTCGTTTACACTGGGATCTTTCTTTCACTAAGGGTACGAAGTTTGGCACTCACTTTAAAGTTTTGTTTTACTTACGTTTCTGCGCATGCACATATGCATCTGGTGCATCTCGTATGCCTTCTTATCAGTTACTTATTTACACTCGCGTTAAAAAAAAAAAAAAAAAACGGGAGCGTCGAGATGCTTCCACAAAGGCTTCACGATTTATTCTCCTGCTACATTTTATTTACACCATCCGACGAAAGTTAGTTTTTATGGCGAATTTTTTATGGCAAGATAAGGGTGATCAACAAAGCGCGCTGGTGGCGATCGGCGAATTTAGGCGAATCGCGAACGATCAATTTTCATTTAGATCATCTTTTGAATTTTGACAACCGCCTTAAAAATTATTTTACGAGCAACTTTCTAATAAATTAAAAATTTCGATTAAAGAAAAATCCGGAATAAAATTGAAGATTTCATCGTTTAATTTTACTGCTAAAACTAAGATTCACAAAAATCTGCGAAAAAAAAAAAACAAAAAAAAAACGGGAGACGTCGAGATGCTTCCACAAAGGCTTCACGATTTATTCTCCTGCTACATTTTATTTACACCATCCGACGAAAGTTAGTTTTTATGGCGAATTTTTTATGGCAAGATAAGGGTGATCAACAAAGCGCGCTGGTGGCGATCGGCGAATTTAGGCGAATCGCGAACGATCAATTTTCATTTAGATCATCTTTTGAATTTTGACAACCGCCTTAAAAATTATTTTACGAGCAACTTTCTAATAAATTAAAAATTTCGATTAAAGAAAAATCCGGAATAAAATTGAAGATTTCATCGTTTAATTTTACTGCTAAAACTAAGATTCACAAAAATCTGCGGAGTTTGAATAACCAGCCAAAAAATGATTTGCCGAAAGTTGATATGTCGATCGTTCTCGATACATTCACCATCCGCCGCTTTCCGCCGGAAGCGCGTCCATTTAGTTTCGTCTCTCGCAGACAATGCCTCCATTAGCCGATTTCCGATGGACGTCTTCGATCTCTCCGTCGTTTTTTCCGGCCTCGTTGTAAGGTAGTCTAGCCGGAGAACGCCTTATCCTCTCGAGGATATTTACAGATCGTTCGCGACCGTTCCCTTCGACAACGACGCGGAATGAAGATGCTGAGGAACTATATCGTGATTTCGAAAGAAAAGACAAAAGAAAAGAAGACGAAGAAAATGAAACATTCTTGTTTCCTGGCGTCGCCTATTGACGGTAAACATGCAATACTGGGTTTCCATTATCGATTTTACTTCTTCACATATTACGTGTAAAATTACAGCGTTCAATAGCGATCGTAAAAGAATGGGAATGACATTGTTCTTCAAACGAATTCACGCATTTTTTTACATATCAAAAGATGTGAATTTAAAAAAAATCGATGATGAGACTATAATACTGCATATTTAACTCGTCGATTAATTTGGCAAGTTCGGAACAGAATTCGACGGTTTCGCTGATAAAAAGGCTCTTCAGGATGCGGACTCTTGTCAATCATTTTTATATTCGTGTCGTTGGTCAGCCTCCAGTCGAAGTAGGATGAGTATCGTTGCTTTTAAACGATCTCTAAGACCTTCCACTGCCGATTTTCGCTCTTTGAGATCATACTCGTAAAGCCTCGGCCGTGACCCAAGCGAGATCGCGCAGCGATCTCAACGGAGCCACTCGTGGGAATTCATTCACTACTGTTAACCTCTTGCCCCGGAACATTAACACCGATAGCTCTGTTCGAAGTGAAGCCCCCGATTCCTCGATACGCAGCCGGAACTCGAAGAAACCCGATTTAGGAGATCCAAGTCAGCTAGCCCCTACCTTGATCGGACTCTTAAATCCACTCAGGATACTCGACTCGATCCTGGATCCTAATCCAGGCAGAGAACGTCTAGCTACGCTTCGGAACTGCTCGAGCACTCTTCGGCTTCCGGGTCGATGTGCTCCTCTTCCTCATCCTCCTCGTGATGATAGTCGCCGGTCTCCTGCTGCCATTTACTCACGTGATGAGTGTTTTTGTTGTTGCTGTTGTTGTTGGCGTTGCCGTTGCCGCCGCCGCCGCCGCCGCCTCCACCTCCGCCACCCGATTGTTGTTGGGCCTTCGCCTCTTCCTCTTGCTGCATCCGCTTGTGCTTCGTTCTGCGATTTTGGAACCACACTTTTACCTGAAACATCAATGATTTTTCGTCGCTGTTAACTTTTTGAAAAGTTAACGTGATTTTATAACGCAATAACTGTAACAACCATAGCGGCTTAAGTTATGTTTGAATTAATCGTTTCAGAAAAAAGAGATAAATCAATATTTTTATGTGTATGTTTTGAATCAGAGGGGATAATCATCTTGAACAGAAAATTCTGTATAAAATTATCGACACACCCGATTGAGATTGCTCGAATTATGCATATAATCATTCATAAAAATTGTGTAAAAAATGAACATCTAAAAACAGAGAAAACAGACAGATTTGATTTCAAAACAATATAAAATAATGAAATTATATATATAAAAAACATTGATATCGTAATTGTTAAAGGGAATGAATTTTTGTATATATTTTTGAATTTCCAACTCACGACGGGCAAGAATATTCGAGAAAAAAAAGATAGCTGAGAATATCTGATCGGTGATTTCTGCGAAGGAAACAGGAAGATAATTTTTCGAAGAACCCGATGAAAGGCAGAAGATACGCGACGTTCAATGATAGGTAATTCGAGCGTAGCCGTCCCCAGCGAATACCGACGTATCCGCCAATCGATCTCGGTGGGCCAATCCCCTGCCGACAGACAGGGGGCGAATCGAACCCCTCGCTCTCTTGCCAGGCTTGCCAAATTAAGTGGCAACTAGTTATAAGCCTGGCTCGGTCAACCCCCGATGTATCATGGAGCCACCCCTAAACGGGAGTATCCGGTTACAATGGTACGTGTCGCTGGCGTGGAAGAAAACGGGGATGAAACTCGTAGGGAGGAGACACAGCAAACTCGATCGGGCATTGTCCTCGAATTGACTGTTAGATATACGCTTCGCTCTCGTGAGAAAAGGGTTGAATGGGGGACCCATTTTGAAACTATCTACGCGGAAAATCAGCATTGTGACGCGAGAGGACACACACGCGCGGGTAAAGGGGGTAGAGGCTGAAACGGGAATGTTTGTCTAACGTCTCGGGTGGCTGTGCGGTTTTGACAAGACCCGGATTATCTTTCGACACGATCGACTTTCGCAGTGACTGAGCCGAAACGAAATGAATGATTTTACGGTATCGAATCCATTATAATGAAATTACGGCGCAAATGGAATAAAAAATATAAATTTATTGTGTTATCAGAGATTTATTTTGTTGTTGACGTATAATATTTTTGTTAAATATCTCCATCATTGAAGGAGAATTGTCACAAAAGTCTTAAAATCATAAACCAAAAGATACGTCATTTCTTTTACATAAAAATCATTCAATTTAAATTAAATTGTAAATTCTCCATCTAACAAGATATATTAATTTTAAGAAGATTTGATTAATTCAAATTCAAATTTTAAGTAAAATTGTTGTAAGATTTTAAGTAAAAACATTTAACGCTATTATATATTTCTTTTAAAATTTTAAAAAGATTGAACTATTGTCACATTAATTCTTTTATTGTTCTCGCGCCACTTTGAATCTAAACGATTTAAATAGCAGCCCAAAGCGGAATATTTCGCCTTTAAGCCAGAATTAAATGTATCTCACCCCTCAGAACCATCTCAAGGTTGTTGTTCACCGCTGGCCAATCGAAATGCAGGAAAGCAGGGACAAACTCGTTGCTGCGTGCCCGGAGGAACCACATTGGGGTCGCGGCACTTAACGGGTGATTAAGAGGGCAAATAGAGAGAACAACCCCTTTCGAGCAGACCGTACTTTTGGGCCTATTCTATCCCCCTCCGCCCGCGAAAGCCATCCCATGTCCCCGGATGTCGCCGCCGGGAGCGGCGTCACGTGCTTAATCGAGTTACCCCCGTTTCGTAATCGCCTCCCGTCGACCCCCGGGGTTGCCATGGCGATCGCGGGCGGTCCTGAAGCTCGATTGGCGGATCCGTACGCACGCGGAAACCCGGGCATCCCCTACCGCGCGTTGCATCCCCCAGGATGAGCCAGACGCTTCATCCCCATCGAGCAACCCTCCCGCGTCCCCTTTCTCTCTCTCTCTCTCTATTTTTCTTCTTTCTCCTTCTTTCTCCTCGGTACCTGAACTTACACTCAGTTTAACCGTCCTCCGCCCCGTCCCCCTCGTGCGACGTTAACCTCCGTCTCTCTCCTTCTCTGCGCCCTCCATCGACGCCAGTATTTCACGAACGCGCATGTTGTAAAAATCCTATAAAAGGTTCCAACACGTTCGTCGATTTATTCCCTGATATATTACCCCGCGGAGTTTAATGCACGATGGTAACGCGCGATTGGGAATTCGCCCTCGTCGAAGAGAAACGGAGGAGGGGAAAAGGATAAGCAAAGATCAACGAGAAAATGATCCGATGTCGGCGTCAGCTGGATTTTTCGCACCCGGCGCGCGCGTTTTATCTCTTCTATCGAGAATCACGTGAAACTTAATTCACCGTTAATGGATGGACTCTGTGAACACATATTTCACACAACTGTATTCACAATGTCATTGTCGTTAAAGTATTTCCTCTAAGAGAGAGAAGAGAAATTCTATTTTATTATTAACCGAATCGTAACGTTGAAAATACTCTTCTATTGACAATGAAATGAGATTTCTCATATATTTCATTTTTTAATCATATTCCCTCGCTGATTGGCTATTTTTTGCGGCCATGATCTTTCCACATATTGGCAGGATTACATTTTACATATATTCTCTCTGTATTTTGTAGCGCATTTTTATATTTCGTTCCTCAAAAGCGACACAAATTCTCAAGCGGACACACTTTATATGTACAACTGTCATAGGTACACGCTTCGCATATAAGGTGTTCACCTGTCACTTAGGTGCGTTATTCCGGGAGCACAGCTTCAATTACATGTCTGGATGGTACCGATGAAAGTGTGCTCGGCCTTTATCTTGTGTTAACCGGCCAGGTGAGCCAGGATCTAGTTAACTACGCAGTTGTATATATATGTGTGTATTCATATTCTTGTTATATCTCAGAGATCAACAGACATTTTTCTGTTTATCTGCATTTTAAAGATTCTTAGTGAATATTTGTCTTTTCTCACTTGAAGATATTTTTAGTCGAAAATTACATTAATTTCTCGATTAAAATGTATATAGAGATACTAATTATTATTCCTGGTAATATAATCGTAGTTTTATTTTGAAATTTTTAATTTGATATTCGGTAAATCTTAAATGTCTAAATCATTTTTTCCTTAAAAATTTATACGATCTTCCAAAATAAAAAAAAAATATCATTCCCATTATAATTTAATTTATTTCTAAAGCTTTAAGTTTACTTTCGAAGAGACTTATCTTTATTATTATACATAAATTACACTTTTATATTCATCGTTAACTTTGGCATTTGAAGAGTCATAAGTGGATGAAACATTACAGATAAGTTTAAACTCTACGTCCATCGAAGAGAATATTATATTGGGAGAATAAAATTCTTCAAATAGAATATTCCATTTTTAGCGCAGCAAACGTCAAAACTGTGATGTATTGTTCGTGCATTATGCATACGAATGCATAACGATCAGGTAACTGATCGTGAATCATCAGGAACGTTTTCATCGACGTTGCAATATATATATTCCCTACTTTATGCATACTATATTTGAAGTTATCGATGGATACTGATGCAAATAATTGTCTATCTGCGCAAATTATGCTTGCAGTATCCACGATAAGCGCTCGGGCGACATCCGTCTCATAAGGAAATTACTTCGGGATAAGTCGCAGACCGGTTGCGCACACAACGCTTCGAGCGGGAAATAATTAATGCAACGATGACAACGACGTAATGAATGCGCGCAACAAATGTCGTTGGACTCATCAAGGACAAAAAAGTGACATGTGAGCCGTATGTACATCTGCGCGAGCTAATCTGCCTGCCTCCATCTTCGATATAATGTATGTGCGCATGTAGATGATGAAAGCTCACGTCGTGTCATGGCATGCATCGGTAATCGCAGATTTAATTAATCCGGATTATTAATTGATATTCTAATTACGCGGCCCAGACCGCGCGCGCGTCCGGTGATCGAGACGTATCGCGTTACGTCGCGCTGCACAAATGAATCGCGGTTGAAAACGTGGCAAGAGAACAGAGAGAGAGAGAGAGAGAGAGAGAGAGAGAGAGAAGAAACGAGCAATGGGGGAGTGCGGTAAAAGAGAGGCCTAATCTATCGAGGCCTTTATGTGCCCCGTTAAATATAATTACGTTTATTGCGGTCGCGCTCGCCGATTGGCCGCTCTTACTTCTGCGATAAATTGGATATTCGCTAATGGAAATTAATGCTGCGCCGCTCCTGCCTCCGCATTTCGCGGCTGCATTAGAATTTCGATATGATTGATAAAAGTTCTGACTCTTTCGCACAAAATGTTTGAGAATATCTAATACGTTTCAATCTGGCGATTAAATATAAAAGATAGAAATCCTAAAATAGAAGAGAGTATCGATCTTACGAAAATAAAATTGATAATAATTTTTGTTATTTTAATTATCATCAATTTGAGTCATGATATTTTTTTTTTATAGAATCATAAATCTTTCTTTGATAAACGTTGTTCAAAAGTTATGCGTAAAGATGTTTTTCTCAATATACAGAAATAATATATTTTAAAAAATATCAAATCAGATTGGGAGGATACATGGAACCAAAAAAAAAATTAAATAAATCACATTTAAGCTAAATAAAAATAAAAATAAAAATTTTTGATTTGATTAATTAAAATGTTATGAGCAAAGAGTATACGTTCCGTTATTCGCTCAGTTCTTCGTTTATTATCCGTCTATTTAATTACCTACCACCGTGCCGTACGCGTATTCGATTTCAATCAGCGCTTTTTTATCCGTCCGAGCGCGCTTTACAAATCCGGCCGCGCCGGCGATTTATAATTGGCGAGGCCGTGCCGTGCCAAACGGCAGCTCGACAACACAACGTGTGCAGAGTGATTTTTTTCGTCGTGCCCGCTTTTTTCGCCGACAGAGAAAGAGAGAGAGAGAGATAGAGAG